CCCAGTCACATAAATCTTCCATTCTTTATTCAGATTTGTACACTAGGCAGATAGGTTAAAACAGGATTCACATAACTGGTTATAAGCTGTAAGTTTTGAGTGATGTTTTGATTTGCTACAGCTGTGCAGCATTAACTTTTCCACCTCATTTACCAGATTTTTTAAAACAAAAGTTAAACTGTTACAGTAAAATATAACTTATCATATCTTCATGAGAGAAGCTTCCCATTTTAAAGGGATGGAGATGTATTTTGGTTATACTAGTTATCAGTTGTTCAATAATTTGGCTAATGATTTAGGCCAGAACACAATTAGCCACTCACTCTGGGAATGGAATGATTCCTTCCAGGAGACGGCATTCTAGAAATGCCAGTTAAGCTGCCCTACGAGCATTAAAATACCTGGGAATGGGCAGGCTAGTTACATTGCATTATATTTTTGCCCAACACATGAAGCAGGCCAAATCCTTAATTTGGCCTTTGCTCCAAGCTGAGAGAAAAGTAGTCTAAAAAGGTGCACAAGTAATCCCATTTTCTGGTGAACTATGAACTCATGACATTACTTCCTTCCTGCCATGGTGGGGTATCCATTCAGGTTATCTGCCCCAAAATGATGGAATCTAATCAAATTCTGTGCTCTTGAGGATTTTCCAGTGCAGAGAACTTATGATCCAGTCAAGGCCCTAGTCCCACCATGGAACAACAAGATGTGGAAAACCTAAGTTCATGCTGCTGCTTTGTATCCTGGAGAACTGGGCAAGAGGGCAAATGGTGCAAGACTCAAACTGAAGTATGCTCTAGTCCACATATTCACACCTACTGAATGGCTCCCTCCACTGTGTCCTTGAGTAGCTTTTTTGGGTGGTCCAGTGGCTAACATTCTCCCTTGCAAATAGAGGTCTAGTTCTCCCAAGGGCCACTGTGATATTTTTGCATTGCACTTTGAAGGCAGACTTACTTGTCTCTGCAGCAAACCTGATTCAATTCTTAGTGCAGCTCCAACTGATGTGTTTGACACCACCATCTGCCCACAGGATTCTGTGGGATCAATTTCAGTCACTGCAACACAATGACATGGACAAGGAGCTTGCAGCAATGTGACTGAATACATGCCCCTCTATCTTTGCTCCTCCAGATCAAATAATAGGAGTAGCAAATGCATCTTTATGTAAAGAAGTGGTTCCTCCTGTTCTTAATGAGGCAGTAGTGCAACTGCTCCTGAGAAAGTCCCCTTTGGATCCAGTGTTACTATCTTCCAGTTACATATATCCCTTTCTTAGAAAAGATACTTCTAAGGGCCATGGCAAAGCAATGGCAGGCACCTTCGCAGCAACAACTGCAGGCACTCTTGGAGAATACACATTATGGAGATCTGATCTGGATTTCTACCTGGTTACTGGACTGAATCAACCTTGGACAGCCCAGTGAACGACCTTGTATGGGAGAGGGATGGGGGAGTGCAAGTTTGCTAATTCTTTGATCTGTCATCAGCTTTTGATACCATCAATCACAGTAATGTACTGGATAGTGGAGGCAATGTGTTACAGTGATTTTGGACAAACCTGTGGGTTTGATTACAGAAAGTACCACTGGGTGATTGCTCTTTGGCCCTTTGGCAATTGATCTAGAGGAGTCAGCAGGGTACCATATAGTCCCCAGTGTTGCTCAACATGTATATAAAACTGGTGGGATAGGTCATTAGGGGATTTGGAACCAAGTGCCATCAGTATGTCAATAACACACAGTTCTCTCTCTTTGTCACATCCAAATCATGTGAGATTGTGAAAATCCTGATCAACGCCTAGACTCAGTGATGGGCATGGCAAGGGCCAATACAGTAAAACTGAATTCTGGCAAGATGGAAGCTCTGTGAGCAAATAGTTTTCAAGCCCAGGAAATAGATTATCTTTGAAAATCAGATGTAATTCTAGACCATCACTGTTGCTGGAGTCAACATGATTGTGGCAGCTCAAACTGTGTTTGAGCAGCTTCAGCTAGTTCAAAAGAATATAGTCTCTCCTAGGAAAGGGACAGCCTGGCCACAGTGCTACAGCTGCTAGTACCCTTGAGACTGGATTACTGCAGTACACTCTATGTAGAGCTCCCCTTAACACTGATCTGGAAGCTGGAGCTAGTGCAGGATGCAGCAGCTTGGATGTTGGTCAGAAACTAGTCCTTTTCATTATGAGACCCTTTTGCTGAGGGAATTGCCCTTGCTATTTGCTACCAGGCTAAAGCTTTGGTACTAGGGTTTTAGTGTATAAAACCCTAAACAACTTGGGACCAGGAGACCTGATTGAGTGCGTTCTCCCTTTTCAACCTGCCCTGCTACCAAGGACATCAGGTGGCAGGCTCTTGGTGGTTCCACATGGGCCTACTGTCCAGTTTGAGTTCACCTAAAGAAGAGACTTCAGCTTGGGCTTCTGCAGAACTCCCTGTTTCTGGTCATCAGAAACAAACCTAGTGCTGTTTTTGGAGTCTCCAGAAAAAAATCTTTATTCCAAAAAGCTTTCCTTGTTTGATCAGCCACAGGTTTTTATTGCCATTCTGTTTTAGCTCTGGGTTTAATTCTTATATTTCTACTTGTTATTGTTCACTACTCTGGACTCTGTTTAGATAGGGCTGTAAATAATATAAATATATAAATCTACAAGAATGTTTTAGTCTCTTCTTAAGCAATCTATGTGGCATGGTTTCATTAAAATCCAATATCTTTACACACAACACTAAGAGTGAAAAAAATGGGCTGATGGCCATGTGTTGAGGCTCTTCTTAAGCTATCAAGAATGACAACGCCTTCCTACGTTTCAAATACTTTTTCTTTTACAAAAAGAGTGCTGATAATTACATGTTGATACAAAACCAGTCTTTCTTCTAAAGTTATTTTGAGGGGGTTTGTCTGACCCTCTTAAGTTATCTCTTTAAAGGAAGTGAAAACATATCAAATGTGTATACTAGGAATATACAATGCACTTCTACATTGTGCCACTATCCTACAAATTTTCAAAAGCTCAAAATTGGGACTCAAATCAATCCTTGTCATTGGCGCACACTTCTATTTAATATAAATAAAACTGCAAGAGAGAATTCCCTGTATTGTGTTAAATTTGGCCACTTTCTGAATTATACTTAAAAAAACTAAGGTAAGAAGACAAAATGAGCAGAATAATCAAGCATCACACTTAGATTCCCTCCTCCCAAACCATAATCCTCAACCATCCACTGCCAAAAAATTGCAAAAGTGCAAAGTTCACAGGTATTCTGTGGAAATGAATCCAGAGTATTAAGAAAATTGTTAGTTCAATGGCATGTCCAGAGTATAGTTATATTAATAACCTTGCTTACATTTTTAAAAGACAATATGGAGCACCCTCTGACTTAACCTTATTTTTATACATACACTGAATTTTGTTTTTAAAAAGACATATAGAACAAACAATTAAAATATGACATTTGGGCTATTTTATGAAAAAGCAAGCCATAAACTATATAAACAAAACTACTAAAGTTCTTTAGGTCCTGAGTCACTTAACTTAGACCATAGGGTCACCCTGGGACAATGCACTTTCTTGAGATTATCCTAGGAGAATATTTCAGATTTCAAGTGAAAGATCTCTAAAATAAAACCCACAAGTCCTACCAATTCATATACCAGCCAGTACTATTTACCCTCTAGTTTGCCAGATTTCAAAAGCCTTAGGATAAGCTCTTTCTTACACTTGAAGCATCAAGCATGCCATAATCAAACAGAACACTGACCTTGATCATGGAAAGATCCATATCAACACAGCTACTATACTCATTGTGGCTTATGTGACACCAGCAGGACCACCTGACCAAGCCAAAAACCCTGTGATCCTAACAAGATTTCTCAACACCAACCAGTAAAACAATAAGCACACCCATTGCCCGTATGTACTAACATTGCATTATTCCAGGGGTTCCTAGTTTTATTATTTGGACTATTAGCTGTTGTACATCCAATAATTCTCAAATAAACATGTGTGAATTATTTAGTGGGAAAAGCCAGACAGTACATTTAAATTATTCAGCCCATGTCCCTCAGGGCTTTAAAGAAATACAAGGCCTAATTACCCATACTGTTTAAGGGATTCTGGAAAGGGACCAGTCTCATCTCAACGTGGGTAGCAAATTATTTGACACAAGTTTCAAAAACAAAAGAGCTGAAGAGGTAGTTAGTCCCGCCTCAATGTGTCAGAAGCCCAGTCTTTTGGACTTCAGTGCAAACCTCCGTCTTTATCTCATGTGTCCACTCTGAAGCTACCTATTACCAGGTCCCCTCTAGACCTCAAGGAAAATGAAATGAGGCAACAGTATTCTCATACTGCAGAGCCAAAACAATATTTTATATACAGAACAAACTGCCTGAGCTACTAGACATTTAGAGGGACGAAAAGGGTCAGCCATTGTGTTTTGTCCTAGAGTCCCTCTGTTCCATTCTAGTAAAGGGCATCTAACCTAAAAGGCCGGGGAGGGGTACGACCCCCCAATTCTGGCCTATACCTCCCGCTCCTTCTATAAGGAACACAGCCCCCGTCTTCCCAAAGACCGGACACCCTCCGACACTCGTCGGGCCTTCTTGGGCCCCACAACGACCGCTCTGGTCGCCCCCCTCCCCGACCCACGCCCCTTGGAGATCTCCCAAGAAGGTACTTCCAGAGCTTGGCCTCACCTTTATTCTGAGCAGCCACGGCAGGCCCACTCGCCCGACCACCCTGCCCGCTCCTCTCTTCCCCTTGTCACGAGAGACCCTGACCAGGCCCATATCCACCGCCGCCACCACGGTCGCTGCCGCCGCCCGTCCTTTGCAACGGCTGTCACAGCGGCCCCTCCCACAGCCGGGCCCCGTCCTCCGCAAGCCCACTGGGGGGGCCACGGGGCAAGCGCTCGCACTGCCCCTGCCCTCCAACACCCCCCCGTTACCCACCCGCTCGGCCCCGCCTCACACACACCACACAGCGCCCAGTCCCGCGCGCTCACCTGGTGGCGCTGCTGCTCCCGCTCAGCGCGCCTGCTCCCGGCCGCCCAGACAGAGCCGGCTTCGGCAGCCCCCTCCTCCCCACCGGAGGCCCGAGCGGGAAGGGAGAAGCGGAGAAGGGCTAAGGATGGGGCGGGGAGGAGGTCAAGGAAAAACCGAACCTCCGGGACACCGACCCTCAAGCCCGGCCGTGGCTCCTCCTCCTCCTCCTCCGCGAGGCCACGTGACAACCGGCTGCGCGCGTCGCTTCTGAGCCAGAGCGCGCCTCCGGCTCAGAAGCCGTCTTTTTCTCGTGCGCGCGCTCCTGCGTCGCCCGCGCTCTTTTCTCGCCTCCTCTTCCTCTCTCCGCTTTCCCCAATCATCGTTCGCCTGCACAGAGTCTCGGGATACTCCGGGGGAAAGACGTCGGCTGACTCCCATTCTGCCTGCACCCCCGCTCCCTATTTCTCACCAGTCGCTTGGCTGGCAACGATCTGCCTGTGCGACGAAGGGTGGGTGCTCTTTCTCCCTCGGAGAGAGTTCTCTTTTCACGCGCGCACACAAGCTGAGACCGACTTCCCCTCTGTTGCCGCAGAAAATACACAAAGCGAACACACAGCTCACCAAGGCTTCGGGCAGAGATCTGTGTGCACGGGACCCCGCGGTTATGCTAGAGTCCCTCTGGCTGTTCAAACGGTCCGAGACTCTGGAATAACGCAGGTACCTCTCAAGGATCCCCTACCGTTGGCTTTTTCAGTTCACATTATGAAAGTGCAAGCAGGAACTTCAGCTGCCCCAGCCTGCAGCCATGGAATAAGCTTTTTTTCCTCATAGAATATAGGGTTTATTTTCTCTTCCTCGATATGGCTGCGGTCCCGCGCGCACTTTTATTGCTGGTTATAGAGAGCCATCGAAAGCATGAAGTTTTGCAGATTAAGAAAGTTAATTTGCAAACTCTGCGGGCAGGGCTCAGCAGGTAGAAGCAACCTCGGAGTACACGCCATTGAACTCTCTGGGACTTCCAACTAAGCAGACATCAAGTGTGGCAATCAGTTGCTTTCCCTCTTTTTCTTCTCCGTGGTATCACTATCTCAGAGACAGAACACTGGGGCGACTTTTTCCACTTATAAAACAGAGCTTTAAGGAAACCTGGAGGTCTATGCAACAACATTTTCCCTCATTCCCTGTCCCCTTCACATCGGTGGTCTCGAGAAACAGTACCGAGATAGATGGAACTTGGCTGCCTGGATGGTGCTAACTGCTAAGCATCTAGCCAGCTTGGGGCTCAAGTTGACAGGACAAAAAAATAAAAACAAAAATATGGTAATTTAACTGTGCACTAAAGGCTCTCCATGTTTGTGCACATGTGTCTTTAAAGGACCCTGCCTCCTAGAGATACCCCTATTTGTAAAAAGGGATGTCTGAACAAGGCCAGAGGGGGGGCATTTGATTTCAGGGCTGAGGAAGACCTCAGGCGGAAAGATCCAAGGCAAGGGGGACAGCAGGAGATGAAGCACATGTGACCCTGTGTTAACATATGATGGCCTCCCAGAGATTCAGAGCGCCACATGAAAGATGTGGATCTTCAGCCCTGGATAGCCAGTCTCTAATGCCAGTGTTGGCTGGTTCAGCCCTGCAGTTCTGGATACCACTTCATTTGCACCTGCTAGTAAAATATATTTACTATTCCTTAAGATGCCACGGAACAGTCTGGTTTCCATTCTGGTGCTATAAAGTTCCATCAGATTCAAATTCAGACTTCCCTTACAGAGTTGGTTTACAGAAACTGAAGGGCAGAGGCCACAGAGGCTTGGCTTCAAAGCTCTGTTAATCAGGAAATTCTGCAAGTGACTAAGCAAAGTCATTAGTTCTCAATCTAGCCTGCTTCATTTGGTCTTGTTTGTGGGGTTAGTATTGAAAAAACCTACCTAGGCTAGCCTGAACTCTTTGGAGTTAGATATTGCATGTAGCATAAACCAGCCTTTCCCAAGCTAGTGCCCTCTGATGCTACAGTTCCTTGCATCCCCCAAGTAGCATCTATTGTACAAATAATTACAAATAATCTATCACCAGTGTGCATGCCACATTCCAAACATGCAGAGTTCCAAATCCTAACACCATCATCTTAAACACATTTTAGACTAGCTGTTTTCAGTATGAGTAAGCATATGCAAGAAGAGGCTCCAAAATCCTGGTTTATGAAAGAAACATAAATAAAAAGGTCTTGACAAGTGCTTGTATCATTTGTTGATTGCAGCATGGCTTTCTTGTTGATTGCATTGTTGATGGCAGATTATCTGTTGGTTAGCATATATAGATAGCATGTATCCATTCATTCATTCCCAGCTTTTCCAATAGTACTGATTATATAGTTCTTTCACATTTTTGCAATACCCACTTTCAATTATGTTCCATTTGCATTCTAACATATTGGGACTGTTCACACATAACGCGAAGGAATACCACAAAGTTACTTTTTTACAGTGTATACTGTGTTCACATTCGCAAGATAATTCCTCATGAGTAGCCTCCATGCACCTCCACCTTCTCTCCAAATGGTGGTACACTTCCCATCAGCCCTCACTCCTGGAAACCATGCTCTGTGCACACAGTTCCTGTCAGCACGCCTGCATATCCCCCATTGTCCCACACATTCCCCTGGCCTGTCCCACCTCTTTCCGCCCCACTTCCTGCTCCACAGAGCCCCCAACTCTCACTAGTGTAGCACGGCTACCTCCACAGTTGCTGCTTCCTGCCCCCCAGCTCCTGGCTGGATCACCCATCTTGTGCACCACCTGGATGATGGCCCACCTACCTGCCACTTAGCCAGATTAACAAGATGCCCATCTTGCCTGCCTGGCATGGCCATGTCACTATGTCCCCACCTGGCACAGCCTCACGTGCAAGTGCACTGGCCCCTCTCGTGACGGTGCACTGACTCACACAAGAGGGGACAGCACCCTCATGTGCAAGAAGACAGCATGTGCTTGCAGCATCCAGGGGTGGGGCCATGCCAGGAGGGCAAACCAGCCATTAGTAGACAAACGGGGAGTAGAAAATAGTGCCTGGAAAGGCTGCTGTGGCTGCTCTTGCTGCCAAACTTGCCAGCCGAAACAGATACCAGCTTCACACATAATGAGAAGCAATGCTGAAATGTGGAAACCTTAGAACAGACCACTGGTTCTTTGTGGTGATTGACAGTAACCAAACATGCCATATTGCACCATGCTTCTGGTGTTCACACAGAACAACAAGCCATTCCTGCCATAGCTTGTTATGTATGAATATAGCTGGTGTGTCAGGTCTGCCAACCTCTTCATTATGATTGAAACGGCAGGAATAGGCAGCATGATTAGTGTGTCATAAATCCACCAAAGCATAGAAGGTGTGTCTAGGTAGGTTTTTATATGACTTCTCTTACCACCATATTCTTTCCTGAAAATTGCAGGTGGGTTTGCACAACACACTAAGCAACTGTGAGCTATGCAGTGTGGCTTATAAACTGCAGTGCCGAAATGCAGCTGGTGACTGGGCATAATGTAGATAGGGTGCCCCCTCTCACCCTTCTGCACTCCTCAGTCCTTCTGGGGGTATCCCAGGAGACACTGAGGGAGGAACTAGACATTCCTCTCCCCCCCACCAGCATGGTTTGACTTTTGCTTTTAAAAGGTTGTGGGTTTTTGGGTGTGGGGGGAGGTCAAACCAGCTTGTGCAATTCTTGTTTGGGTAGCTATGAACTGCCCTTCCGAAGTGTCTCAAGAGTACCTTGAAGGAGCTACCCACAATCTCTCCACCACACTGATAGTGTGCGCAAAGAATGGCTCACATTTTTAACCAGTCATGCCAAACTTGTGCTGCAGTGGGTACCAGCCTGGGTAGGTGCCTGCTGGCTGAATCCAACAGGTATCCCTGTTGCACAATGTCTACCCCAGGCAGCAGGTGTTTCCCCTTTCACAAGCCTCTGACAGATGGCAGGTGCAAAGGGATCTTTTTTTTTTTTTTGCAAAAAGGGCCTGTAACCTCAGGGTTTTTGGGGGTGTGGATCATGTGCCTCCTCAGTTTTGAAGTGTTCTCCCTCATGCTAGCATTCAAAACTAGATAGGCATCCCCTTGATGGGAGCTCTGAGCTTCCTAGCTGTCAAACTCAGAACTCCTTCTGTAGGTTTAAAAAGGGCTTGACTTGAGGGGGTAGGGGGGAGTATGCAAGTGCCTGCACACTTTGCTCCAAAGCAGAAATGTTTAATCCCTTCCACATCCCACTTTAAAAACAGAGGTTTGACAGTTTGAGCAAAGAGTCAAAGCAGTTTTATTCCTACCAAGAGGAATCCTCCCACCAGTTTTGCAGCTCCCCAAAGTGTTATCATCTTGGGGTGAATGGCAAAAATGAGGAGACCCATGACACATGTGAGCATCTCCCCTCCCCCCCAAAAAAACAAAAATTCCTGAAGATCCTGCTGGAATGTGGAGTAAAATTGAGAAGAATGCCCCAGAGCACCATTTTCTTTGGCTATGTGTCCATCAGTTTTGCAAATAAGGATTTTACATTTACTCAGTTGCAGTACATGAACACACAAGCACCCCCAAAGCAGCCCTGAAGATTCTGTTGCAAAATGCTGTTCTGGGGCAACCCTCTTTATATCATTTTTTTAAAAAAAATAGCAAAGTGCTACAAAACTGCTTTCTGGCATGTACATTTGCTAGGGGAGACACTGAATGGATTTACATGACACAGCAAGCCACAATGATCTGTTGTGCAGGATGGTCTGTTGTGCCATCCAAACCCTCTTATGGTTTTTCAGAATTATGTGTTTCATAGTTATGATAAGAAAAATGGCCTGTTCTATGGTTTCCACACATCACCACCGTTTCTCTGATAATCCAAACCCAACACTGTGTTTTTCATGGTTCTGATGTGTCCTCTGGAGAGAGAGGCAGCTGCAGAACCGCTCCAACCGTCCAGCATGGGATTGAATTTACTTCATCATCTGTTAGTCACATCAGGTAAACATGCAGCATGGAAAACCATGCAGGATCGCTTGCCATTAAGACTATGGAATACACTCCCCTGAGAGGTTCTCCTGGTGCTGACGTTATATGCTTTTTGGTGCCAGGTCAAGACCTTTTTATTTACCAGATATTTTAAGGTTTAAATATTTTAATTCTGTTTCTATCTTCAGTTGTGTGCTATTATGATGTATTTATTAGGTT